TTTTCTCAAAGGTTATTTCAACATCATCATCAGCTGTAAGAACCGCGTACTTGCCGTACAGTGGTTGTAAAAAAAGAAAAGCGTTCAGCTGTAGAACCCTTACGGTGCCTAGCTGCCATGCCACCCGAAGGAAGCACGAGGGCTAGGATACTGCCAGGTTGCCCAAGCCTAGACAGGGGAATTCGAGTGGCGGAGGTCGGCTTCGAACCACGGACCTTCCGGTCAGTAAATACGCCCTCTAAACACTTGGGCCATCTCGCCCATATAGCTGCCACAGTTTCATTCACTGACGATTTGGAGAGGTGGGGTAGGTAGCTGCGCATCGAAGGCGGTAACTGATCTAGTTGATGCGTAAATACATGGTCGTCTGTGGACTTTTCATCAAGGGGGTTGGAAGGGGAGCAATGGATTACAGGCAATAGCTTCAATGAACGAGTGCCACTGAGAGTGCAAACGTTTACGCTGACACGAAATGGTTAGTAGCCTTCACCAAAAGCCCATGTTTTTGTGGTGTGGTAGAGGAGCTGGAGCGACAGGGTCTGTGAGCTCCAACTACTACATGAACCATTTGCACGACGTATTCATAAAAAACGGAACAAATCTTACCCTGCTTACTAGCATCTGAAAAAATTTGAAGATTGGCCTGAGAGGGTGATTATCAATATAAAAGCGGGTAAATCGGCATGTACACACATGTGCAGTATAGTACTAGTCGACAAATGTGCCTTCGTGCATACGCTACAATAGAACACAGTGTGTTAACAATGCTGTCAAGATGAGAATAATCTTGACAATGATAAAACGAAAATATCACTTCCCAAAAAAGTTTCGGGAGGGCCACACTCAAAAAATGCACTAAACAAGTGTAGGCGGATCAAAACCCGTACGTAACATCAGCGCAGACAGATAGAAAACAGAAGGTCTACCTACCTGGACCAACCGAATTTTGATCACTTTTCGGAGGAGGATGAGAGGGGTTGAGGCCAGAAAGTTCTTTTGGTCGGGCTAAAACAGGCACTTTTTCAGGCGAATCTGGTGCCTTTGGGGGAGGAGGGACATGGAAGGCAACATTTGGAGGCCAGTCAATACCAGCAAGGTTTCGGGTACCGGAGCGAGAATGGTGAATTATGACAATGACGAACAGGATCAGGGGTAAAAGTATTAGAGTGGAGCGCCTCCAATGCCAGTAAAGTCGCATTCGGCGGCGCTGGATACACTGTAACTGGAAAAATAACGCTCTTGATGAATGGAACAAAGATATATAACAAACAAGGGATTCAGTACCAAGGAAATGTAGGAATATTTCTGAACTGAAAACCAAACGCAGGTATTTCTCTTGGATCGTATTGGATCAACACACATCCGCAATAAAAGCCATTATTGGCTATTTGCTACAACAGCACACTTGCCAGCTCGCAGCTAGCAACAAGTTTTAGTGAAAGTATGCCATTTTGGAGGAAAGGGATGCATCCATTAACGGTTGTTCATTTTGGTCTCCATCTAGTTAGAGGATTGAATTATTTATAGTGCTCGCTTTACGGGCTTAAAAGAATGGGGGCAAACGAAAATACACAATCAAAACAATCATCTCCAACAAACATCTCCAATAAAAATTTAAAGAGCAATAGCGACCGCCAAGTCACCAGAAAAAACGTGATGCGTGCCTTGTAATAGGATTGAAAATGGGAAAGTGCGTGTAAGTATATGGTGGTTGGTGTCGTCGTAGAAGTCGACCGAAGTCAAGGCTGTATGCGGTCAGAGGGGGGCGTTCTAATTCTTTTTTACCAGTCTGCAACACAAACAAGAATGGGCTGTCACTTGTGCCGATTCCGCCACCGATCATCGTACATCGTGCGCAGTTGAGATCTCCGAAATTCGTGCAGTCGGCTTATCCTCCCATATAAGTCAGTCGGAGCAAGATAAGTACAACAGAGTGGTCAGAATAACCAAACGACCAAAAAGCCAAACATCCCACGTAGGTTGCGGACCCGTATAATAATGTACTCTGGTTCATAATTGATTGGCAAAACGCAAAGGAATACCCAAGTAACCGTCAAGTGAAGGGAGAGTTACGGTCGACCAACACCAACGACAAATCCGGTGCTGAAGTGATTTACTGCAAGAAGGCTTTGACGTATGAAGATAAAAATGATAGAAGGACAACGCTTGTAGGTGGTCTAGTGGAAACATATGAGGCACCAAACCTGTGAGCATTTTGACCCCACAGGCAACAGAGGCTTAGAGTGAGTCTATCACGATGGACTACAAGGTTCAAGAGAAAAGGGAGACGCCCCGTCTAACGCTATTTCATCAGTGGACTTGGGCGAGAGCTTACCATAGGCTTTCAAGCGTCCAAGGGAGCTGGTGAAAGGACCTTTAGGGACGGCCAAAAAACTATGCCGGACAGCTTTGTTCCACAGACACTGTCAATGTACCCGATGATCAACAGAGTAAAGGGAGCTTTTAATTCAGAAAAGATACTCATTGTTCCTGGGTGTGGTGGAATCTGTGTAATCGAAGTACCATTTGGAAGAATTGAACTTGAATGTTTCTTTGTATGCTCAGCCGGCCCTAGAAGGACAAAAGAGAGCAACCTTCGATGCATCGATCACCATGTTAATACCATGACCGCCTTCGCACAGTTCACGTCTTCTTTTTTCAACATGGGGAATACCCCTTATGTAACATTCTGTGGGCACATTTCCTTCACTCAATATAGAACCGAAAATTGTCAGGCTAATTAGCATCCTTGGAAAGACGAAAACAAACCATCAGGACTTGATGCCTCCCCGCACTTTAAACAGAACACTCCGCATTTTCTTCATTCTTCTAACAGACAGGTTTCATTCCATTTAATCGCATAAAATGTCACCACGAACTAGGTTGCAATGATCCAGATAAACTGCTCGGCCTATCTTTTCAACCGACTTTGTGAACAAACTACTTACTACTTACTACTACAAACCACTTACCGTTTCACTGTTAGTTATTTTCTCTGGCCAGTCAATCAAATTAGGTGGTGTAGCACATAGCCCTTTCCGGCGACAATAATCTTCTCCATCTTTTGAGCTTCGTCTGTCTACCAGAGACCTCGACCATTATTTAGACCCCTCAGTACTTGAGGTCTGGCAGATTAGCGTGCGTCACATGCCTGATAGTACGAAACTTATGGCATAATTCAAGACTAGCGATCGCGATTATACCCAGCAGCCATTTTATTGGATCTGCGAAGTCGGACAAACAGCTCTGGATGCCATGGATATGGATTCTCTTGCATTTTGTCATGCTTCGTCCACGCGACTATAACCAATATTATTGACTGTCTCCACAGTAGTTGGACTAGGATACATCGATACCGCTAGGCTGTGGAATTTATCCGAGGGCGATGGATTGACATGCATCTCGTTCGAGAGAGCATAGTGATTAAGGCGCGAACTCACTGACCGGAAGGTCTGTGGTTCGAACCCAGCCGCTGCTCCTCGACCGATTCTGTAAGCATTGGGCAACCTGGTATTGTCTCCGTTCTCACGCTTCCTTCGGGTGGTATGGCAGCCAAAAAGGGTGTTACAGGTTAACGATTACTATACCTTATATCATTATATCACTTGCCGATCTGCAAGGGCATGCAGGGAGTCGGACGGCCGGACGCCAGCGCACACTTTTGCCATCGCAATCACGCTGTGCGGCCCAGAAAGGGCGACAGTTATGATTATTAACTACAAATGGTTCCCCTGCAACACCTATTCGGCACCTAGCTGCAGTGACACCCGAGAGAGGCACGATGGCTGGGATATCGCCACGCTGCTGAATCCTAGAAAGAGGAATTCGATATGCAGAGGTCGGGTTCAAACAACAGACCTTCCGGGCAGTAAATTCGCACTCTATATACTGAGCCATCTCGTATCAAATACTACTTATTCAACGGTGGCGTGATTTAATCAGGTATGCGGTTGATTCGCATTTGGAAGCCACCACGACAAACAATGAGAGTGCTTGTGTCATAAACTTGTGCTGCTCAGAAATAGCTGGTGGTCGGTGCACAACTCATCCTCATCACTAGCATTATCATCATCAGAGGCAGAAACATCGGTGTTGACACTGATGCATCACTGCCATACAATCAAAAAGTTCATATAATCATATTTAAAGCAGAGTGAAAAGACGAGAAAGGTGTATGAGGGAGCGGACCAAGTGCTCGCCTATGTCAAACACTCTAGGGTGCCTGAAACACCAACAGCTCAAGCAGGCTATTTAGAAAAAACTGACCACGGACACCACCGACATCGATCAGCCGCCATTTTTTGCCATGTCTTCAGCCAAATGGAAGCGAGTCACGGGGACTCCATTCTGGAAGACGCGCAGCACCATGAACATCCGAACTTTTCGTAAGCTCGTTCTCAACCTTCAGCCAAGCTATGCGTTATCCGCTTAGCGCCTTGTACCACTCTGCAGGAGGCACAGGGAACAACACTTGTCTAGGTAGACGGTGTTTCGGCATGCACAGGACATGATCGAGGCATCGTGGTCGACGGTGCTGGAGATTTTCCGCAATTGAAGTAGCTGCAGCACATTCAAATTTCCGTTTTCTAATCACTTCGTTACTAAACCTCGGACGCCATCAAAAACCGCTGAAGTTTCTGAGGCATCGGTAATAAAAAAAACTTCAAGACGCCTCAGATTATCGGTCCGCAGAGGCCATGTATCGCACCCTCATAACAACACAGCCCCTTATGTAGCCCCCCGGTATAAGCGATCCTTGAGATCCAGTAATATATCTTTTCGATGCCACAAGTGACGCAAATGGGCAAACGTGATTCTGGCCATTAAGAATTGTGCACTGACCTCATCAGACCCACTTCCGTCAGGGTTAATACAACTGCCGGTGTATGTGAAATTCCCAACAACCTCCACTGATCCCCCTTGAGTTGTCAGGAATATCTTCAGAGACTGAACGCTCTGAAGCATGACTTAGCGATTCGAAGGTGCAAGGTGCATGCCAAAAGATGGTATTATGATGGTCAGTATATTTAGCAGGGCTGGTGCTTCTTCTTGGTCTTCAAAGATGAGGGCGATGTCATCTGGAGAGAGCGGACAGCCCTATCGGACACCACTTATTGTAGGGAGGCTTTTGGAAATAAAATCGCTCAGCTGTAACACCATGTCGATGTCTAGGTGCGATACCATCCGATGGAAACACGAAAGCCGAGATACTACCAGGCTTCTCAAGCCTGGGGAGAAGCAGTCAAAATGCAAAGGGTGGGTTCGAACCACTGGTTTTCTGGTCAGGAAGTTCGTACCTTAACCAGTGGGCCACCACGAGCTTCAGACACAGCTTCAGTTCTCATGCAAGCTAGGTAACGAAAGGGTGTTACGGCTGAACGATTATCATTATCAGACACCGCATACGTAAAACCCAAGAAAGGGACTGGACGAGCATTGTCAGTTCACCAATTTGACTTACTAAGGACTTTAAGGTTCCTACGTAGAAGGCATCTCATGGATTGATTCGTTTTCTATGATGTCAACCGTTATCAGGGTGGATAAGGCCAAATCGGTCACGTGGATGGCAGGTGGATGGTCCGACAACGTTTGCCTGTGTGGTAGCAAACAATTGGAGCGACATCATTGTTCAAAGGACTGCGAGGGCAAATGGCGCTAGCTGGCCAGAAGACGCAGTAAGGCACAGATGTTAATGCGCAGGGTAGTAACAACACTTTGATGTCGTACCAGGCTCCTGACAGGTGTGATTGTGCTTCGACCGTACTGGACAACTCATTGATGGCTAAGGTCAACCGGTGAACCATTGAATTGTGTGGTTATCAGGGCTAATCTTCCTTAACTCGTTCTTCTCAGGAGGAATAAACATTGTCGTTCGTTTGAATGAAATAACTTACTGCCTCCACGCTCCTATCGCGGGGAAAAATGTAACATTACCTCCAAACCTTCAGGTGATATAAGTACCTGTATCGGCGGGCTCTCTGAGCTTCGGAATGGCAGAGAACCCAAAACCAGCAAAACCAGCTTTTCAGAGCTATTCAAGCTCCATTGGTAACAGACCGTTCAATGCAGAATAAAGATGACTTAGAACCTGTGTAGAAAATTTTGAAAAACAAACCGGAATACATTTTTACAAATAGAATAGACGATCTGCTACCACCGATGGAACGGTCATCGATTAGGGGCGATGTGAACAGCCGAAAATCACGTCGAAGACACCATCAACAGACTTGGCCGAACAACTTTCGGGAACCTCAATCAATGTTGCCATCGGGATCGATTATTTCTCAAGTCCTGTAAGTTATTTACTGCAAGAATATGCACTTACGTCCAGCCAGGTGGACCTGAAGTTTCCATATTACCCAGCTTGGCACCGCACTCTCCACCTGTCCCACAGGACTGTTCACCATCATGTCCATAATAGAAAATAATATCTTTGTTGATAGACGATGGCTTGAAACATTTGTCATCCACCTTAAAATAAGGAAATTTATTCGCTATTGCAGCGACACCATTTCGATGCAAACGTACTGCTGCGATTCAAAGCCTGTTACGTTACGGATTCACTGGAAACCGATTAGTAGATGTCTTCAGAGAAATCCCAAGATTTTTTAGTAACACAGGGCCGTTCGTTCTCCATTGTGATTGAACTGTTCCGTTAATGACAGACACCAGTGCCCGTTCCATTATTTTGGGCAGAGATGGATGCATCCCATTCAGTCTCCTTAATCTAGATCGGTTTACGCACGATAAAAACGCGGTCATAAAGTCCAAAATAACCCAGAAAGCACTCTGCCAGTGAGCTAAATGGAAACCCACCACTGTTTTCTGGAAACGGACGGGAAACTTCATATATATCTCGCTATTTCAGTGCACAACAGCTGTCCTGTGACGGGATGTATTACATGCGAAACATATAAGAGTGGCCTCACAAACGCAAAAAACGCTTTGGATTTTCCAAACCATATCAACAGCTTCGGTTGGTACATTCTCAAAGCCCCCTCAAAACTGACACTCAACAAACTGCCTCACTTATTTCGGACTAAGGCTTCGGTTGCAATGCCCTCATACGCACATTCACTCATTCCAATACGACGTGTGAAGCAACATCCCACCTGGTAATCGTGTTTCTCATTTCGTTTTCAGGATGAATTGGTCGAGCCATTGCTCGAGGAGATCCATTCGAGAAGCAAATTTTAGGAGGCATTTTTTCAATACAGCGGCGCATGAAGCACAGTTTGGTCGATTTTAAAATGAAATACATCACGACATGACCCTGAACGCGTTCGCATTTACCAAGAAATTCAGGTACTCCCATGTCAAGATATCGGAAATCGTAAGAGCACCTGAACACGCGAACCCGTCAAGGTCATCAAATTTGTGAAACGCGCTTCAAAGAACTTGATTGGTGTTAGCGCGATCGCACTTCACTCATGTTTCATTTCACAAGTTTCGTTATCGGACAGAGACTAAACCCGAGGATCTTCTCTAGTTCTTTTTCCTTTGAGGACATGAACTTAGACTGTGGTGAGATCTGTTGTTGGGTATTGCATGGTGCTAAAATTCGGTGATTTGGCTGCACTCAGTGAGTTCATGCTTAGTGTGATGTCGGTGGTTGAATTAGGCGGAGCTTTGTTATTAAGACCCGTGTGTGAGATCTGGTGCGTAATTAAAAATACGAACCACCTTTTCTCGACGAATACCTGCGGTCCTAACGCGTCGGATCAAGCGGAGTCTTTTAGGCGACGCTGACTGAATTTGCTCAACACGGCGCCTGGACTCATCATGCCGTTGCACCCACCAGATACCGCGCAGTTCAGTTTCCATCCCTCCTGGATCTCTTCATCACCAACGAATGACACTTCAGGTAAAAATTAACGCTGCAGTGGAACATAGCGGCCACTGTGCGCTGACATTTTACTTCATCCGCTATTGGGCCAGAAATCCCGTACCTCAAAGGTTGTTTCGAAACTTCTTCCGTGCAGACATCTTATGAATGCGCATCCTTCTTGAATAAGTTAAACGGGGACCAGCATCACTGGAAGACTTGTACGGAACCATTGTCAAGAAAGTTTACGAGGCTGGTGCGAGTCTCTCACATAAAAACAGCACTCCGTTGGGTGAGCCGCAATATCCCAAAAGGGATTCAGCGACTTCTGGAAGAGGTCCTACTTTTTTTAAAAGGTTAACTCCAGGAGATACACAAGATGAGCCGGCCTTTCGTAAATTGTGGAAGCGCTGTAAATCAAAGATCCGCCAATGGAACATACGAATACAGCCGCCATTCCCTACCTCGCCCGGAAAAACAGAAACGTACTATTCAAATACATGAAACATCGCCGCGCAAAGAAGCTGTCCGCGTTCTCCAAGAGGTGCAGGAACCGAGAACCCACGATTGACCTAACAGGGGTATCTGAGGTTTTGTATAGAACACTTTGCAGTCTATATTCAGCCACAGCGTCCTCGTCACGCCCACTCTTGTCAGGTTATACCTACGAACAGCCTCTAACCGACTTGGTTTTCACAGTGGAGGACTCCGCAAATCTTGCAAACTCCTAACTCTTTCGGAGAACTGCGGCCAGTCAAGGTCCATCCAATGATCCTGGAATAAACTTTATCTACGCTGGAAACAAATTTATACTTGGTGTTTCGTCTGCCACCTGCCTACCCTCTGCATAGAAGGGAGCGATTTTCACGTCGATCTACAAAACTGGTGGCTGACTATCGCCTGGAAGCTACAGGCCCATACGCCTTAACAGCGTGCCGTGAAATGTGATGGAACGCATTCTGAAGCGAACTATCTTGGATTCCAAGAACTTAATATCCAGCTGCATATGGATTTCCGAAAACCGTTCTTGCCTGACAAAAATGTTCCCGTTTGTGGACATCTTAACCCAGGCCAAAGATGCGGGACCCATTTCGGATGCCATATATTTCGACTTCTCAAGGCATTTGATAGGGTCCTGTGAATGTTAATGGACTTATGTATACTATAGTGAAAAAAACAGAGTAATAACGTAATTCAGGTACAAGGTTACAAGGAGAAAATCCAAGCTAATCGTGACTCACAGTTAATTTAGGAAATTACGTGGTTCCGTATCCCGTTGAACCACCACACCAAGAAGAGGGAATTCTACCTCCCCGGTGTTCCAATTTGCGGGTGATCACAATAATAATGCGCGAGTGTGGATAGATGAGCCGTATTTGTAGCTTAAATTCTTGTTCGCGTTTAGAGGTAGTGGCAACCAATTATGGCCAGCCGACAGTCATGATAACGGTCACTCACCAGAGGTCCCAAAGTCTCGTCGAAACCAAGAAGTGGGCGGTCGGTCGAGGTTGTATTCAGCAAAACAAACTTCTGTACACTAATGCGACCGATTTTGATAGGGAGAAGGAAGATGGTGCTGAGCATGAAAAATAGCATTTTGCAAGTTCTACAGTCCCACACGTACCTATGCTCCAGAAACTGGCGCCATACGGGATTCAAGGGAAAATCCTACACGGGAGCAGTCCGAGTGAAAGAAGGCTACACCTACTCTTCTCCAGAGTCAGTCTATATTGGAGGTTCTCAGGGCTTCGCTTTGGGACCACTATTTTTTCTGATATACGTCAGAGACCTCCTAGATGTTCAAGATAGACCATGTCTGCTTTTCGTGGACGACTTGAAATCCTGGATTTCCAATGCCAGTGCCCTCCAAATGGATCCAGACGCTGCAGAGCAGTGGTCTAGCAGCTTCTTCTGAATGACAAAAAATGCGCTCACATGTCCTTTGGAGGAGACTCAGCGATGTATTTGTCACGCAGGGTGAGAAAGGACCAGAAAACATCATAAAGATGGATTCCCAAAAGGATTTGGGCATCTGGGTCTCTTAAAACTTGTCCTTTTCACTACACCATGAGAAATCGGCCCAGAAGGCATACGCCATTCAACGCAACTTCCCCCGCATTACTCGCATGGACATTCAAACACTCTATGAGGCCTACGTCAGACCGCTCCTGGAATGCGCCAACCAAGTTGTCTACTCAGGACGCACGAAAGACGTCACCCTCATTGAGCGTGTCCAGCGATCCGATACGAGAATGGTTGCCGGCCTCAAATCCACAGAGTACGAAAAGCGCCTCGCGGTGCTTGACCTCTTTCCTCCGAAGTATCGTCTCCTCCGAGGGGACATAGTTCTTACTTATGCCCTTTTGAACAATGCTTGGTCAGTAAGTTCTCCACTAATGACCCAACGTTGTAGGATTTTCAAGCTCAGAGTGCAAATATTGATTGAGCAAACCTTCCTCAGACAAAATTTTTTCGCATTTCAAGTAGTGGCTGCCTGGAATGAACTTCCTCCGACGGTTGTCCAGGCTCGTTCAAGAACCCAGTTCAACGCACTATTAGACACTTATTTATGCGAATCCTTACGCTTGCAACCATAATACCGGTGCTGAGTACATGAAGAGCGATGCTACACCGTTTTTCTACATGGCTATATTTCTTGTACAGATAAGTAGGTAAATGTTGCGCTTAGATCTTCGGTTTGTCAAGCTTCAAGTGGCCAAACTTTTGGATTGATTTGTTGGCTTATATTCTTCCCAACCGGCGACAATTTTACGGATTGTTTTCTAAATATTCGAAAGCGATTTAGATTTTGATGGCGACAATACTAGCCACAAGTGCATCGGTCCATTGTTTGCAGCCTTCTTAACCACCCCGTATTATGCACCACTAAAGCTTCTTTAATCACACCTTTGGCAAGAGCACAGCTGGCCCTAGGGCTCAATGAGTCGAGGCCGGTCAAATATTGCTACCAGTACACGACGGTCACCCTTCCTTTAGTTAGTACTTATAACGGCTTCCCGTGTGAAGTGATGGGCAAACAGTTAGGTGGAGGTGGCCACAGTGGACCAACATTTTTTGAACTTCCCATAACAAAGTGTGTATTGCACAATGAAATCAAGGTTAATTACAACTGGGGAGCATATTTCCTAAATTTTCTATGCGTAGTAATCCTGGCGGACCATGCTAAAGATAGACAAGCGGTGCTTTTTAAGAATACGGCTTACACATGGCATCCGTCACGTGGTGGATGCGTTGCAGATCCAGCCTGGCGCATAAGGTCCGAGCTCTACCAAACAATTTCCGCTTCACTTTTTGTTAACTGAACTCCGAATGTTCCTCGGGCACTGATTACTTGACAACCCAGGTATATCATAGGCCAATTAGTTGCAAACATCTCAGATTGAGTAGCTCAGTTGCTTTCCGTGTTTCACATTTGGCGGCTCAGAAACATCAAAATAATTTGGGCCAACGTTTCGGTCACGCCCATAAGCTCAGTGAGGTCTGGAATCCATACAGTGTTATTCACAAGTTTTGCAACACGGTCCATTTAAAACTCATCATTACTTTTCCATTGTAGAATTCAACCTCAACCGATTGGAAGGATTAGAAGTAGAATGCAGCCCCATATTGGGAAAAATCTATCTATTTTTTCGTCTAGTTCATCCAAAAACGTTAAACGGGATCTATGAAGGAGAATCTTTTGTCTCCATTGATATACTACAGACCTTCTGGATACTAAATGGCTAAGTGCTTTTGAATGCTTATGGCCGGCGAACATTTTCTCATTCTTGATAACCATCCTAACGAAATAGTAAAAATTATCTGCAGCAAGTTCGTGGAACTCACTGTCGTTCTAGTGGACGGAGTTACTTTTAAAAAATTAAAGCAAGAACTAGCCACAATAATAACAGAAGATGGACATACAAAAATCTGAATATGTCTACTGATAACCTGTATAAAATATCGACGACGAGGTTCATTTAGATATCAGTCTAATTGAATAGAGTTTTAGAGTTTCAACGGTATTCACTTATGCGCCCAAACATCAAAAGCTGAATCATACTAATGCTTTCATGTTATCTGTACTAGCACGTCGTGAATTCAGATGAAGCACAACAGCAAATTCTAAAAGAGAAATGGATGACAACTCAACTGTTGAGAAGAAGTGACCCGTCAAATACTATCCACAATCAATATCTATCATAGAAATGCTAAGAAACGTCATATACCCGGGACGTGTTTTATCTGCACAATTTTCTGAGGCACCGACTTCTGAATTAACTGAGAATGAGTGGGCACGTGCTGGTCTCCGACAGCGTGCGACTCGTGTAGCGGGATTGATAATATCCATAATAGTTCGGGACGATGCAGATCAATAACTGACTGCTGCTAGCTTTAAAGGACACGTGTGGATTCTGGCTATACGCTCCTTCGAGCTTGCTTTCTTTTACCATTTTAAGGGTATTGTAAGAGGCCAATAAGTTGCTACGCAACCAGGAGACCGGTAGATCGTGGAATTTGACGAGTTCATTATAATCGTGCCGATTGTGAGACGTAATAGACCTGGGAATTTAAAGTGCCGGACTGGGCGCGGAAAGCTAGAAACATCAAAGAATAAATCAGCTAATCCGGAGGGCGAAGTCATCAAGATGTGTGGCCTTCTTCTGAAACGAACTCCCCGGAAGAATTTACCTCGTGTGAGAGTGTATGTACATCAGCGTCCCTGGGGAACAATGCAGTTGGAGGTTGTCCATAATTGCGTCTTACCAAGGTGGATTTGATGGTTTTGAATAAAACGAATGCGGGTCTCTCAAGTAATTTCTCTGGGCTTCATTTGCCGCTGTTGTATCACTCTTCTGCACTGCGTTTCTGTCTCTTAAAAAGAAGACTGTTGTCTTGCTCCGCCTGCGGCTTCTAATGCGCTTGAATGTTGCAATTTCATTTTTCCAAACGAAATCCATTATCTTGACCCGTTTACGTAAATTCCCGTATTTGTTTACTGATACAAAAAGTTAAAGCTTCCAACCAGGTTTTGAGCTGAGTTCGTTCTTGTCGTCCAGGGGCTCCAAACCATCTGAGAGATACAAGGAAAAAAGGGTTGCACTGCTCTTTAAGCTTATTTCGCTGTGCAGGAGGTTTGCCAGTTTAAGGAACCAAAATAGCGCACAACGGTGTTTTGATTTGGGTACTGTTCGCAGCAAACGACGGAGTTAGGTTTCTCTACCCTAGGACGACCAAAAATTGAAGAATGAAGCCTAACAAGTGTGCGCTTTCAGCTGATGAAACATTCTACTATGTCCTCGCCGTATTTTAATTTGGTTAATGGTGAAATCCTACTGACTGCTGCAACAAAAAATGGCGATCAGCCATTGCTATGGTCCTAAAGCAGAGATTGACAATTGGACAAAGAATGCCTGAGATCGTACATCGACCATGTCCTACCTTTGCGGGTTTCCCTGGCCAACCTGCAAAAACCCCGTTGTTTGAAAAATTGCACATCTCAGCCCAATGACCCTAAATATGACTTCCATTACAGGACAGTCCATAAACCTAAATATTCTAAGCCGATCACGAAACGGCACTGTCATACTCAGTTTGGTGACATCCGCAACTATTCCTGCTATTGACCATACCCCTCACCCGATCCCAGCCGCCTACCGAACGCTTCCAGCCAAAGCTGCTACCTCTCATTCCCATTTAACCATTCCCGTGCTCTTCCAGTATACGCTTTCCACAACGTCAGGAATTTTCCCGGCAGTCCGCGTTCCTGATTGTGTGTTCCCATCAACTCACTTTTCCAGGGAAATTTTATGCCCGACTTCAGGACGACGGGAGCACCAGTAGGGATCCACAAACTCACTGTACACCACTCAAGGATTCACGGAATGATACACAGGATTGGAGCCTTTGCTCAAGTTTCCCGGGTCGGTTTAGTTCTTGTCGTTCAGCGGCTTTCGTTCACCTAAAAGGCACAAGTGGAAAAAGGGTGTAGCGCTGCCCCTTATGTTTCCAGCGCGGGGCAGTATGCTTGCCAGCGCGAGGATTCGCATTAATAAACGTCTAAGAGTGCTTCAAACTGGGTTCTAGAAGGAGCGTGGACAACCGTAAAATGGCGAATGCATTTTGGGCTGATTTCTCATGGTGCATCGAGAAGGACAAGTTTGAGGAGACCCATAAACCCGAATCCTTTTTGGCGTATATCCTTATGATGTTTTCTGGTCCTTTCTCAAAATGATTCTGAGATTCCTGCTTATATTTATCCGCCCTGCCAACCCCTCCGCCCCATCATGCCTACTTACGCTTTTCGTCTCCTTGGCCATAAGCCAATCTGTCTAAGCCCACGGAGCCTCGGCGGTAATTTTCGTCCAAACCGACCGGCTGGATAATGCTAACTCTGCTGCTCGCCAGATCTGGTGTGCTGGTTCCTCAATTCCGGCAATTCGCACTTTTCTTGTCATGTGCCAGCTAGGATGCCTTTTGTTTTACTCCTCTAAACTTTGTAATACCCGCCACCTTCAAATACTAAAGATACTATCTTGCTGGACCTTTTCTCTACAGGAGCAGTGTCTGTGCTTCCCTGCCCATGTTGGTTTGCG